GTCCTTTTTACCGACAAAGAAGAATGGACTTGCCAATGGGGATTTTGAAGGGCAAATGTACCCTTTACTCAGGTTCTCCTCGAGGAACTTGTCGAGTTCCTTTCGTTGCTGTGGGTTGAGCGGATAGACCTGTTGCTTCATGTCCGCAAAGCCCTCCTTGAGGTTGATTTCGTGGTCATATTCGGTGTGGTCTGGAAGTCGCGCAGCAGTGCCTTTGTCGAAGACGGGGAGGAGATCGTGTAGGTAGGATGGTACCATTTGTGGTAGCGTTTTTTCTGTCTTGCCTTGGGTGTTCGAGGCCGCAAGTTCGGTGGATGTTGTGACTCGCCTAATGTCATGGTGGATCTTCCGGATCATGCCATTGTGAAGTCGTTTGTAGCCAGATGAAAGTTCAGGGAGTCGCTCCTTGAGCGGAACATCCCTTACTGCCAGGGGTTCCTGTTTCTCGTACTTGGTGATCATCGGTGTTTCGGATAAGTAGGAAATGATGAACTCATCATCGTCGATGTCCTCCGCTTGTTCCTCGATGGACGCAACACCCGTTGACCCAAACCCATCCTCCCCGCGTTCAGTTTTGTCGATGCAGTCGGTTATAGTTACTGGTGGGGTGCTTATCCTTTCAAGGATGAGCTGGGCAACTCGGTCGCCGGCTTTGATGGTGAATGGGAGGTCAGAGTTATTGACCAGCAGGACTGAGACCTTGCCTCGGTAATTGGAGTCGATTACTCCTGCAGCGACATCGATTTCTTTTAGCGCTAGACCGGACCGAGGTGCGATTCTTCCGTAGTGTCCTTTGGGGATAGCCATGATAAGATCGGTGCCGACCAGGCCTTGTCGTCGGGCAGGGATGATGAGTTGATGTGCAGCAGAGATGTCATATCCTGCTGCGCCGCTAGTCTTTCATTCAGGGAGGGTTGCGTGCTCCGAGGTGGAGATGACGACGAATTCGTCCTCCATTGGTTCTGGGAGTGGGGTAGTTATGGCCTTCTTCAGTTCTAGCCGAGCCACTCGCCTTTGGTACAGGTCCATCTTCCAGGCCCTGGTTTCGTCTTTCGTCCACCGGTGGTTTAGCTCAACTTGTCCGGTTTTCCAGTCTATCTTGGGGTTTTCAAGCTTGAGCCAGGTATGGCCGAAGATGATGTCTTCCTTGCCGATGCTGGCGACGTAGGCTTTGACAAATCGGGGTTCTCCGCTTATCTTGTAAGATAAGAGAGCTCTTCGCGTGATGAGTGCTTCTTTGTTTGGAGTTCCATCCACGTTGAAGATGGGGATGGGTCGGGGGAGAGGTTCTGTCCGAAGTCGATGCTCTCGGACGAATCTCGGGCTGATGAAGATTCCAGTTGCGCCGCTATCGATGAAAGCGCACGCCTCAACGTCTTTTCGTCCCACAGTAATCGGAATGTGCAGAGCGCGTTCATTTCGGACTACTAGAATTACACGGGACAGTGAAACGGATACGGGCAGTGGTTGCGTCGGCTCACCCTGCCCCTTCAAAAATCCTCCATCGTGAGTTCTTCGTACAGCTCCTGCTTCTTGTCAGCGGAGAGTGCCTTGATTCTGGCACGGAAGTTGTCCCTCCCAGATCCTCCCTGGTTCGGTCTCCCACCCCCTTGTCGTGCAGCCGCTTTCTTGTGGCAATCCTTGGCACTGTGGCCCTTGATGTGGCAGTAGAAGCACAGGTTCCCGTCCCTGTGGAGCTTCCGATCGGCCTCGTTGAGAACAGCTCCTAGTTCCCATTTCCTTCCTCCTGATGTGGAGGTGAAGGTTGATGCGACGGCAGCGGCATCGATATCCATTGGTTCGCCATAGTCCCTGGTGTCTGTGACGACGAGAGCCCCCTGCTTGGCTGCGTCAGTGTTTCGAACTTCGTCGTACCAGGCCTTCATGGTGTTGGGTCGATCCCTAGCGACCCTTGTTGCGAGCGCAAAATATAGCTCCTTCGGGAGTCCTTTGACGAAGTTGGCATGGAGAGTGTGGTAGTCGTTCTCGACGCAGTTGGTGCCATTGACCTCGGCATCCTTGAGCTGAGCCTTTGATGCTAGCTGTTCGAAGCGGGTGATGTAGTTACCAAGGGAGAGCGCCGTCTTCCTATCTTTTTGTCGTTCAGGCAGTTTCATCAGGATTTGATGTGCCTTGATTCGCGTTCCGTGCTCAGGGAACACCTCTTCTAGAGCGGTGACGAAGTCTGCCCAAGTGGAATAGACCTGGACTCCTCCTGCCGACTTCTTGTAATACGCGTCTGCCCATGTTTTCCCCAGATCCTTCCTCATCAGCGCTACAGTGAAGGCAATCTTTGCTTCATCGCTAAGTCGGGTGTTGTTGGTGGCGACGAAGTAGGAGAGGGTGCATTGGATGAAGCGTCTGAGGTCCTCCGCCTTTCCGCTGAAAGGTTCAGGAGCGGGGATGTCGAGGCGAAGGGGTCGGTTGGTAGTTGATTGTTGGGATTGGTATGCTGCGAGGGCGACAGCAATGCGCTGATCGATGTCTTCTTGAGTGAATGTTGCCATAGGGATTTCAACCGGTGCGTTGGTTGGTGCGGGTGGGGCTGGTGGTAGTTCGATGTCTGGGATTTCGATGGGAACGTACTGAACTTCAGGGAGTTCAAGTGGTTGTTCGTTGATGGGTGACTGCACGCTTTCTGCTGTTTGTGTAGGTTCGACGTCAATTCGTAGGATGGTGAATACATCTTCTGGATGAGCGGGTGGGTGTCTCTGGTAGTAGCTAACAAGTTCTTGGTGGGCGATGACCTGCGGGTTTGGACTGGTTGCACAACACCAGGTGCCGCCTCGAGGGTAGATGGGAGCCCTTTTTGTGGAGGTGACGAAGCAGCGGTCTGCTCGGTCGTACTGGAGGAGCGGTGATCCTGTGAGGGCTGGTAGTCCCAAAGGAACTGGGTTGACTGCGTTGTTCGACGTGATGGTGGATGAGATGTTCGACTAGGTAAAACTAGGAACATAGCTTAGGAAGTTCAACCTTTTGTTACAATGGTCTATACTCCTATATTGATGCCTCACTCGTAGACAACGAGCGAGGGCTTATGGACAGTGCATCATCCTGAAGATCGAGCGAGGAAGTTGAGAATGACCACTACCCCAAGCGAAGAGGAGCAGAGACTTGAATGAATAACCAGGTCGAACTTAGGGTTCGACCGACTAATGGTACAACTATTTATACAAGTACCGGCTACGCACGGACCATCATGTCTGTGTGGTCATGTTAGTGAAGAAAGAAACGTAGTGGTACGATGCCGAGTACGAAGTGCGCACGGACCCCATTATGTAAGCTACATAATGTTCAACCTGCGGGTGAGCGCTAAGACAGGCGCCAGTATGGGCACTAGTAGTACAAGGAATAGAATGGAAAGACAAATGTTTCAACACCCTTGTCTATGGACTGGTCTGACACATAGACTGGTCCAGCAGGTTGACCAGTAGCAACACCCAATTTTGGATGCCCGCCACTGTCATCATGCACTGGCAGACTGGTCTGACTGGCTAACCAGTCCATACAGACTGTGCTGTCTTTCACTTCTGGACAACGGCCATCTGACAATCGACGGGTTGACTGGTCTGACAATGACTGGCAGTTCAAGACAGAATCATAAGTCCAACAGCAGTTCAAGACAGATTCATGAGTCCAATGGCCAGACTAGTCTGACATAAGGGCTGATCACAGTACGGATTCCAGCGCGGATTCGAGCAGATTTCAGCTCAGATTCCATGCTGGATTTCACGCCTCGGTCAATGACCAAGCGTATGCGGCATTGTCCGTGCACCACTCGAAGAATTACATAATGAACATATATTTCTCAATTGCCACCCCTGTCACCTGTTTGTTCGTTCAGAGAGCGCCCACCTTTTTTGGTGCGGCCGAGTGGCAGCCACTGACAATGTGTGACATGCGAGCCTCAACTACAATATTGTGCAGTACTCATAAGAATGTGGACAAGGATACACACTCTGAGGTAATTAGTGAATGATCTGTATTCAGCTCCTGAATATCAGCTTGTACTAGTATATGAATTGATTACATGACCCAATATGGAATGTCGCTCTCTAATATATGTGTGTCTTGATGCAATACAAGCTGCGCATGAAGGCATCTAAAAGCGAGACATATATCTTTATTATGTAAGCCTTTGGGCAGTGCGCGGACAATGCCGCATACGCTTGGTCATTGACCGAGGCGTGAAATCCAGCACGGAATCTGAGCTGAAATCTGCTCGAATCCGCGCTGGAATCCGTACTGTGATCAGCCCTATAGTCCCCCACTTCGGGATGACGCCACCATACTACGCAGTACTCCTCTACTACAACCTTCTTGACCAGTCCGGCATGAATTCTGATGCAGGCTAGTGCAACCCGTGTCCTCTAGGCTCACGATCCATTGCTCAGGCCGGAACAACGTCCAACTCTTTCTGAACGTCTGCACGCTCCAAAGAAAGATCTGCAAGCGTCCTCCCAGCAAGATGCCTGTGATAATCCTGACTCTCGATTGATATACGGAGCATAAGCATGCGAAGATTGTTGGCCTCCTGCAGAGATTTGGGACTCGAGTCTTGGGAGGCCGAACGAGTGATCTTGACAGGTAGGTCCTCGAGACGCGCTTTTTGTACTTGTTGCGCTCAACTTGCCAGACACTCAAGTCTGAAGAAGCAAGACTGCTAAGCGGATTGTAACAAACCTAGTACGACCAAAAAGGCACCTTGGCCGTCTCACCGTTCTATTTTCAGCCCCACTCACCGCCGTATTCCTCACCCTCCGTTTTCCCAGACATCCAATGCTGTACCTACCTATTCCCTTGTCAGCGCCCGACGATCCGTGGATGACTTCCGGCTAAAGTGCCCAATTTCAGGTGCTACGTTCTCCTGTGTACAAGATGACGAAAGCTTCAAACTCTGTTGTACCCAAGTAGGTCTCCTTAAAATTCGTAAGACGGCGATCACCTCCCTCAAAGCCAATTTCGACGAGAACGACGTAATCATTGTTCTATGTGTGCTTCTCTTGCGATTATATTCCAGCAAAGATATTGGTCTGCTTGCGGCAGTCGCCTAGAAACACCCCGCCACAAGCAGCATCGTATTCTATCCGTCCTCATCAGTGAATCTCGTCTTTCACTTGGACAGAGCATGAGCCTTCGCGCAGGCGATTCTGGGAGAAGCTCAACAGCGTACGAGGATGGTATCGTACATGTACATCCTCGCTTTTTGTCAGCCCCGAACCCTTCGCTCATTCTATCAGTGTCGATGGCTTGTATCAGCAGGACAAGAGGTGTCACCGCTGGAGTCGTCTCTTACAGGATTCGACTCACAACGACCAGGCTCACGTAGTGCTGGTCACGCGGACCATGACGAGTCGTACGGAGCCTATACGCCAAGGGCATCAGTTGCGCGAGAGAGGAGACAGAGGGGAGGAGACAGAGGAGAGGAGACAGGAGAGGAGACGAACCAGAATGACAAGTGCACGAGCCCGTAGTCTAGACGTCAAGGTCGTGAGTTATGCGTGGAAAACATGAGATGGAAAAGAGAGACGAACCGAAGTAGCGGTGCCAACAGCCAACCAATAGATAAAGGAGCGCAGCGAAAGGAAAAGAAGTCGCAGATAGGAAAAGGAGCGTGGGGATAGGACAGGGGAGGGAAGGGGTCGCAGATGCAAATGAAGGGGTGCTGACGATGTCGTTCTTGTCGACGACGAGGGGCCTAGGCGACGGTGGTGAGGTTGAGATGGGCGTTAGGAAAGTGCGCCTTGATGCGGGGCCAGAGCCAGAACATGGGGGTGACGTAGGTGACGTCCGAGATCTCCGTCTTGCCAGCTCCTCCAGTGAGAAGGCCTCCGATGCGACCGCGGCCGTCGACGACAATGGACCCCGAATCGCCAGGGGCCGAGAACACGCCGGAGTTCTTGTCGTAGTTGTACACCGCCCACTCCTTGGACACCATACCGGTATCGTCGTCGCGAACGAACGAGAAGATTCCCGTGGCGCGTCCGATGGTAACGCCCGTAGCATTACCGCTCTTGATGACGATGAGGCAAGGCTCGTTGTCGTGGTCGAGCATGTCAGGGCGGCGCATGAGCTCCTGGCTGATCATATCACGGAGGGGAAGGAGACGATCGGAAGGGTACTTGAAGGTGGTGGGCCCGTCATCGCGAGGGTACATCTTGAGGGCGAATACGTCGGAGGGGATCTCCGTGCCTGGGAGTAATCGATAGACTAGGCAGCCTGAAGCGAGATAAATCGAGAACAAATCGTAACTCACCGAGGTCCATAACGTTGCCTTTGAAGGCCTTTGCGAACTTTGGCCCGTCGATCTCGAACGCGCCCCAATCCTCGGTGAAGCCGTCAGGACCGACGTTGAAGGCGAGGGCGGGGGAGACGCGGATGTGGCCGATAACGCACTGCCTGGCCACACCCCAGTTCTTCTTGACATCCGAATAGAACTTCTCGAGCGTCTCGATCGCCTCGTTCACGGCGATGACCTGCTCTTTCGCCTGTCTCAACTCCTTCCTAGCATCCGCAACCTCCTCATCGTCCTCGTCCTCGTCGACACCAGCCAACCTCGCGTCTAACCTCTTGATCGTGTCCTCGTGCTGCCCGAGCATGATGGCATGGCGGCCGATGCGGAGCCTGATGGAGTCGAGGAGCTTGTCGAAAGCCCGAGTGCCGAGAAGTTGGACATACTTGCGAGGCGCACTTGTGTTGCTTGCGAGGGCGTAGGAGTTGTTGTTGGTGGCGTCGGTCTTGAAGAGGACATGGTGGCACGTCAGACCAAGGACCTTGTCGCTCGCACCGCCCTCAGCGAAGTACAGGCCCATAGTGCCCTGAGCGTCAGGCCTGTCAGCCGCAGCGATGGGGAGGCAGAGAGTGGGCGTGAGAGGACTGCGAACGTCGACGGTGTCGTTGACGCTCGAGACGTGACGAAGTAGCTCTGGTCCGACTGAAGGCCTATAGATCGACTCGCGGTACTCGACCTCGACGTCCTCGATACCGAAGGACTTGAGGAGCATGAGGATCGCTTCACTCGAGCTGATGGCTTGTGGGCCTTCGAGCGAATCGGGGAGGACGCCGATCCAAATGACCACAGGCCCGACAATCTGCTTGTCAGAGCCTCCGTCGGTGACGAAGCGAGCTAAGTCGATGGACGACCAGCGAATGCCCTGGACGGTCAGAAGATCCAGAACCTGGGGACCTACTTCCTCCCAGACGGCATTGATCCTATGACCGTACACACCACGAACCTCCTTAAGCTGCCGATGTGCCTCGAGCCCTTTGGGTTTGACCCAAGGCGTCGTGGACAGTCCGGTGCGGTAGACGAGCTTTGGAGGAGACGGGGAGATTCCTGAATAATAGTACATGGCCTCGTCCTTGGAGACGAGGTGGGGAGGCGAATCGTCAAGGGAGGAGACGCTGGAAGGATAGTCCTCGTGGAGGCTGAGGTTGGAGAAATCGCTTTCAGTCGGCGCGACCAGCTTGGCGCCAGAGGCCTGTGCGGACTGCTGCGCAAAGACGAGACAGGCACGGACAAAGTCGGAAGAGATCACTAAACGAGTAGACGAGCAGTTCAGTGTAAGTTAATAACAGGAGAAGGTGAAAGACTCGCTTATGATGGTTCGAGAGACTGGTTGAGAGACTTGGCGGAGAGGCTTGGTGGAAAGACTTTGTCGAGAGACTTGGTCGAGTCATTCCGAGGGGACGAGGGAGGGGGAATAAGAGCACCCTTATAACCAGTCCAAGGAGAGAGGAGGTGGACAAGCAGGCTCCTTCCCGCCGTCATGGGGAGAGTAGGGGGACTTCATACGAGGGCGGTATTCATGCTATATCCTAGTATAGATCTTATTGTAGATTGTATCAAGCGAAAATGGATAATGTCATCGCCGATCGCAAATTGGTCAAATAAAACGCGCACATGTCACGCCGGATCGCATGGATGTCCCGACATTTAGAAATAGCTCTCGCGCTTCACAGATCCTCTCGAACATCCTCAGGTGCCATTATGGGCCTGAGTACATCCTGAAAGAATTGACTGCAGTCTTATGTTAGCCGTGCAACTTCATATTGTGATGTATGTTATACAGGCCATAATACCCAGTCAAAAGCCGACCCGCGCGCTTGCGCGTTCAGCCGCGTTCAGCTGCGTCACCCAAAGCCCGCGCATGGACACATGAGCGCAGCATGCTCGGAAAATGCGCGGTTTGAGTTTCGCGCCTATCCGTGCACTGACGCCTTGTTCCGTGTTAGCGTATGGACGCAGCTGAGCACGCACCTGCACATACATCCAGCTGCTCCCATTCGTGCTCATATGCGCGTAGACAATTTTACTAATATTTGAAATAGATATATTGTCTGTCCATCCGCGCTCGTCCATGGTACATATGTAGTTATGACTAGAGTACCCTCCCCCCGCTTCCGGGGTGTTGACAGCGACGAGCGTTGGATGCCCACTTGCCCTCTAGAGATGACCGTGCCGCGAGTCTCGTCCAACAATGGCTTGACCGCGATGCGCGTAGCCCCGTGCAGAGCCTCGTCCATGACCTTCCTCGGAAATTGCTCGGCACACCGACGACCTGCAGGTGCTCGTCGCGCCACTCGTTCAGCAGCGCCACGGATGTCACGAGTTCGCCCAGCGGGATGCCGTCCGACTCGGTCATGGGCTGCCAGAGCTGGCGCAACATCTAGTGCGAGATGCACACGAGCGCGTGCGCAGCTGTCCAGCTGTGGCAGTGAGCGGTGGAAACGAGGTCGAGCGTGACTTACCAGGAACTGGAAGTGAGCAGAGGGTACGGGGAGCGTCAGTCCAGCACGCAGCGCGGAGTCAGTGACAGATGCGGTGTACCTCTAACTGGTCCCTTGGTTGGCCCTGCGGCTCAAGGTTGTCGGAAGGCACATACCCGACTGTATGAAAGTCAATGTTGTAATCGTTGTCGTCGCTGCAGGTCCGCCACATCAGTTCCGCACGTGCTGCACAACACCACCACACAGGGCAGGCATACGCACATCATCAGTGTCGCGACTTAGGGTCGAGCGACAGGGGAAACACAAACCAAGGATGCTGGGGGTGTTCGACTGGGTCTTACCGAAGCGATGGTGAGCAGAGCTCAAACCTAAGGCTAGGGACAAGATAATATATTAGTGAGGTAAGAAAAAGGAATACAAAGGATGCTTACTGACCTAGGGACTGTTGACTTTTGGGTATGTCGGGCAAGCGTCGCTGCCAGCCCGGGTCACGTGGTCGTGCGCCGGTGTGGGAATAGGACTTATGTAGGCGTCGCGCGCCATAGGTAGCCCCATCGGTTTGTAACCTTATCCACCATTGATCCCTGTCCATCGAGGACGTTGGCTGCCAGCGGTCTTTCCGGCGTCTTTCTCACAGGGACAAGAGGTCGAAACTGAGGTCCCTAGGGCAGCAGAGGCTGGCTTATATACAGGGGAAGATGAGGGCAGGCTGTGCGCACTGGTCCGTGCACAGCTGGTCCGTGCACAGCATGCTGACGTGGCCCCGGGGGCCGGTGAGTCAGAGCGGCTGTGTCAGCGGAGCCCGAGCTGTGCCGCGCACTGCCGCCCCATCTAATCTAATCGTACAGTAGATAAGGACTTGTCCGTTCGAGCGTATAGTACACAGGTCGCGGGTTCGAGCCCGCGAAAAGGAAAAAATTAAAAAACGGCTAGACGCCGTGTCAACTCGTGACATTACCCCCCCCTCAACGGCGCATGACCTCATGCGAGGCGCCCTTGCCCATTTCCCACCCGGAGCGGCATCGTGCTTCAGTCAGCGGCGAAGGCATTGGCTGAAAGTTGAGACCACCAAAGGTAGCAGCGTTGAGGCGGCGAGGGGCGTTCGGGTTCTTCCGGTGGAAGTCGGCTATGAGGGCCGGCGCATTGGCAACATTGCGCGCTGGTTCCCATGATGTATGCGAGTCGTCATAACCCTTCCACTTGACGAGGTACTGCAACTGACGCCGGAAGATTCTCGAATCTTTGATCCGCTCAACCTCGTACTCCTCGTCGCCCTCAACCTCAATGGCAGGCAGCTCCTCCGGCTCCCAGCCTGGGATCTCACTATGCGTGTACTTGCTAAGCAAGGAGACATGGAACACCGGGTGCACAGGCACCGACTTCGGCAGAACCAATTCGTAATCTAAGTCTCCGAGCTTTCGCCGCACGGCATAAGGTCCAAGACGCTTGGGACTAAGCTTCTTGCTCGGCTGTTTTAGCTTAAGGTTCCGGGTGTCAAGCCAGACCTTGTCCCCTGGTGCAAAGACCGGTGCCTCCTGTACGTGCTTATCGTAGTACACCTTCATGCGCTCGGCTGACAGCTCAAGCGCAGAGCGCGCGTCATCGCGAATCTCCTTCAGGATCTTAAGCCGATCGGCGGCAGCGGGCATTGCGGACATCGGATTGATCCGAACCTGGATCTCAGGATTGTACCCCTGATGCAGGAAGAAAGGGGAGTGCCCGGTCGCGGAGTGAACTCGATTGTTCAGTGCAAACTCCGCGAGCGGCAACTGTTTCGCCCAATCATCCTGCCTGTGGCTTGTGAAAGCGCGCAGGTACTGCTCGATCTCCTGATTCCAGCGCTCGGTCTGGCCATCTGTCTGAGGGTGGAACACTGTAGACAGCGCCGGCTCGATTCCTAGTCCTTTGTACACCGCGTGGAGATACTTCGAAGCGAACTGGGGACCTCGGTCTGATATGACCTTGGCCGGGGCCCCATGGTGCTTGAACACATCGCGGATGTACAGGTCTGCCGCACCTTCTGCCGTCAGGGTCTCATGACAGGCCGAGAAGTGGACCTGCTTTGTGAAGCGGTCGGCGGTGACCAGGATCGAGTCGAATCCATCAGACTTTGGCAAGCCGACGATCATATCAGTCGTGATGATCTGCCATGGGCGCTCGGGGATCTCATTCGGCTTCAGCGGGCCCTGGGGCTTAGCAGGGAATGTCTTGGTACGGTTGCACACGTCACAGGTGCTTACGTACTCATTGACAAATTTGGACATCCCAGGCCACCAGTAGTTCCGTGATACGAGCTTGAGGGTTTTGGCACGACCGCCATGTCCGGCAATCGGCGAGTCGTGGTGGATCTTGACTATATCCCGCCGGAGCTCCGCGTTCTTTGGGACGTACACGCACTCGCGGAACAGCAGAAGCCCTTGTTCGGCATTTTACTCCTCAAAACCCCTTTGCAGCCGGGGCGGCCCGAGGTCCTGCATCTTTTCAAGTGCCTCGGCCACTACACGGTCTTTCTCCGAACATTCCCTGATGCGCTTCAGAAGCGACTGATCAGCTGTCACTGAGGCGTGACCGTGCCTGGCGGAGGCGATGCGGAACCTTTCAGGTTTGAGAACTACCTGATCGGTGTTATCGTCCTCATCGCCGATCTGATGGTCTGATCGACGTGACAGGGAATCAGCCTTTCCATTGGACGTTCCGGCTTTGTGCGTGATGCGGAAGTCGAAGCGAGCCAGGAACAGCGACCATCGTGCTTGACGACGCGTGAGATGCTGGGATGTACGCCAGTACTCGAGGTTCTTATGATCAGTTACGATCTCGAACTGATTGGGTAATTCCTCGAGGTAATGGCGCCAATCGTCCAGTGCTTCGATGATCGCGAGCATCTCCTTATCGTAGATCTCGTAGTTCCGCTGTGCCGGATCCATCACATGGGATCGGAAGGCTACTGGGTGCCACTTGCCTTCATCCTGCTTCTGCATCAACACGCCACCGGTGGCGTACCCTGAGGCATCGACTTCAATTCGCGTCTCCCGGTTAGGGTCGTACAAGGCCAAGACTGGAGTCGTCGCAAAAAGCCGTTTGAGTTCATCAAAGGCGTGCTGCTCCTCTTCACCCCAATGCCATGGGTCGTTCCCTGTGAGTCGGTCGAGTGGTCGCGAGATCTTGGCGAAGTCCTTGATGAAGCGGCGGTAGAAGTTGGAGAACCCCCGGAACTTCTGAACATCTTTCTTGTTCCGGGGTACCGGCCACTCATTAATTCCTTTTAGCTTCGCAGGATCCATCGCCACCTCATCGCCACCGAACACATAGCCGACATAGTCGACCTTGGGAACATCCCATTCGCACTTCTCAGGCTTCAGGAACAGATCGTTGTCCTGAAGGCGACGAAGGACCTCACGTGTGACCTTCTCATGTTCCTCCTTGTTGGTGGAGAAGATGAGTATATCGTCCAGGTACACGAGGATCTTACCACCGACGATGAGATCGTGGAAGATCTCGTTCATCATCGCCTGGAAGGTCGCAGGGGAATTGGTGAGACCGAAAAACATCACCAAGGGCTCGTACAACCCTTGGTTGGTCACAAAAGCCGCCTTCCACTCGTCACCGGCTTTGATCCGGACGTTGTTGTATCCCCACCGGACATCGAACTTTGTAAAGAGCGTGGCGCCGCAGAGCTTATCTACCATCTCGGCGATCAGCGGCAAGGGGTAGCGATTTTTGACCGTGATCGTGTTCAACCGGCGGTAGTCCTGTACGGGTCGAAGCGTCCCTTCCTTCTTTTTGATGAAGAAGAAGGGAGACGAAATGGGCGACTTCGATTCCCGTATGTAACCCTTCGCTAGCTGCTCCTTTAGAAACTTGTCTAGTTCCTTCTGCTCATTGTTCGATAGCGGGTATACCTTCGAATGGAATGTCGAGTAGCCGGGCACGAGTTCGATCGCGTGATTGTATGGCTTTCTTTTGGGTAGCCGTTCTGATGCTTCTTTTGAGAAGACCTTCAGAAACTCATGGTACTGCTTAGGTACCGACTCCTCAGCGGTCTTAACGACCTTCTTTTTGATCTCCTCCTCAGCGAATAGCTGGGAGTATGTATGCCCGGCTGCGACGAACAGCTGAGGGGTGCCGGGAAGCGTGATACCTTGCTCCCAGGCTTCGATCAAGTCGGCCTCGTCCCACTCGACCTCTACCGGATCTTCTTTGGGTTCAAAGTCTGGGAGTACCTTACTCCTGCAAGCACCTATAACCGACCACTTGGACTTCGGCGAACGCCTGCGCACCGTGGGCCTGACCCCCGTATCACGCGCAGTCGCTGCTTGCTCCATATGGCCAGTCCTCCTGGTACTGCACGTTTCAGGGCATCGCGATAATTTGAGGGAGCCTTTCTCCCAATCGATTTCGGGGTTGTGCTCACGCAGCCAATCCAACCCAACGATCACATCTTCCGGACCGATGTCCGTGACCGTAAACACTGTCTTCTCGACGTGTTCTCCTATCTGCATCTGTAGCACTGCTACTTCCGAGATGCTTCCGTCTTTATTGAGGGTGCCATCAATATTGTATAGCGGAATCGGCTCTTTTAGTTTCCACGTCCGCACCTTATTTTCTATAATGAATCGCTTGTTGATAAACTTCGTGGTGGCTCCGCTGTCCACCATAGCGATTATGTCCTTGTGCCGTCTTTTCCCTTGGAGTCGGACTGGAATGTGAAAGTGCTGGGACCCCTGGTCCAACTCATACACCATTGCAGTCGACAATACGTTATATCTATTACATGATGATACTCGCGGCCCGACGCGTGCGGCACGAAGTGCGGACCGGATCAAAAACCCTCCTTCTTCATCGCCCGATAGTGCTCGAGCTCTTCGCGCATCGACTTCACCTGTGCCATTAAGTCTGTCAGCTCCGATGGCTCGGA